CATTTAAAAATTGCTCCAGAATGAATAATGCCATTAACAGGGTGTCTTCTTCACGCAGCAAAGTGGAATCTCTTTAACAGACTCCAAAATGCCAAGAAGTTATACGCTTCTGGCACAGCTCATCTTAGCAACAGCAAAACATAGGGAACTGTTCTAAGTGTAAACCAAGACTCTCTCGTATTTGACAGGGCTCCTTCCAAAATAAAGAATACTTCTGTACACCCATATTATAAGGTCTAAATACCTGATGCATAAAGAGATGCAGCTTATAAATTGCACATGTATATCATCTTCTTATTTACTATTAAAATCAGCAGTACTCACCTACAAAATAAAGTGCTAGCCAGTGCCTTAGTTTGGTTTGGGGGATTTTTTTTTTTTAATAAAACAAGAATTCCACCCACAAATAAGCTAACTTCTGTTAAGCGTACATGCTGGATGGCTCACTGAATCCACAGAGCGCTGTAAAGAGGTCCACCAGCAACACGACCTCGGCACAGCCTGACTTCCAGCCAAAGCCACCTCACAGCTTTTGTACATTGTGTTAAACATTTAGTGATAAGGTACTGCATAACGTAATTCCCCATTTTATTTAACCGTAAGTACTTGTAACATTTGACATAGACACCTGCTGCCATTGCAAAATTACTGTAAAAAAAAAAAAGCTCAACTTTAATGATACTTTACAAATTGGATTAGCATTTGAATCAGGTTTACATCAAGGCCTATTCAGCTCTTAATGCAGCCAAACTCTCAGGGAGAGCGAATGGTCATAATTTCTTAGTCTTCAATCATGCTATGACACTTTAGATAGTTTGAGGATCTCATGATGAACGTGAAGGTTAAGAAAAGCAGAGGGGTTTCTGCTGAAATCCCACGCTGGGGTATTTCTGATCTAGAATTTCATCTCTCCCCACTACAGAGAAAGGAAGTTTGATCCAGCTCGATCCAGCTCTGGACTACAATGCCAGATTTTCTCCTTAAACCGTCATTACACGAACAAAGGCAGAAACAGCAACTGTTGTGCTCAGCGGTGACTACTGTTTAAGACTGACCAAGCAGATCAAACAGAGAAACAATGCAAACCACACAGAAAGCTTCATGCTTTTGTCTTTAAAAAGCAAGAAAACCCACACTGCTGTCAGGATAACATGTCAGCAAGAGGGGAAGAAACTGTTTTTCTACAACAGCAGTTGTAGAAAACGTGGGCAAATCAGCAGGTGAAAGGAACTTCTGGCACTGAAAACTGTTACTGGGGCCCCAACTCTGGTATGCTGCTCCGGTATTTCAGAGGATGGCTGCTGGCTCCACAGCTTTATGCACAGCCCGCTAATCCCATGGTATCAGATCTTTTCAAGTTGTGTCTCTTTACCTCAATATAACTTTATTTGTTGTTAGCTAACAGCAGGTATGCCTTCTTCAGTATTTCTAATGCACACTTCATTACTGCACCTGAATGAAACAGGGCAACGCTTCACATCCTACCAGTTGCACCAACTGGCAGTAATACAATGCACATCTATCACACAAGACCGAACTCCACAGTGCTATGCTCCTTTCACACCTATTCCTAATATTTACACAAATCCACAAACAAATGGTTTCCGTGCTAAATTTTGCCAAGAAAGTCTCAATTTAGGATCCTCTGGTGTTTTCCTCACAGGGCAGTTAAGAAACCGGAAAAAAAAACCAACAACAAACAAGCAACCCACAGCCTCTGTCTCCAAACTAATTGCTACATAGTAATTTCTGACAAGAAATAAACAGGTGGGTTTTATATATATATATATATATAAAATAAATAATGTGTGTGTGTGTATATATATACATAAATACAACTGATCCAGGACATACAGACACGTCCTGGATCTGCTTCTGGCTCCAGACTGACTTTCTGCAATACTGTGAGGGTGGTGAGGCCCTGGAGCAGGTTGCCCAGAGAAGCTGCGGATGCCCCGTCCCTGGCAGCGTTTCAAGGCCAGGCTGGATGGGGCTTTGAGCAACTTGGTCTAGCGGGAGGTGTCCCTGCCCATGGCAGGGGGGGTGGAACCAGATGATCTTTAAGGTCCCTCCCAACCCAAACCATTCTGTGATTCTATGGCTCCGTTTCCCCTTTCGGTTATGGCAGCTCCTACTGCAAAGGGGTTTAATTATTACTTCCACAGCACCCAGCCCTTGTGTCAGCCAAGGTGCCTCTGCGGAGCCGGCTCTGGAAGCCGCCACAGCCGCAGGCTACGCGGGCTCCTGCCAGGGCGACCAGCCCAGCAAGTCACCCCACCCGGGCGGGATGCCCCGGCCACACCTTTTGCCAGCCTCAGGCAACGGGGGCTGGCTGATGGAGCTGGTGTTATCAGCTGTGCTATCACACAGTTAATGCATTTTAAACACTTATTTCTGATTACTCAGTCTAAACCCCAAGAGCTATTATTATTAGAAGACTAACATAAAGCCACTTGCAGGGCTCCCAGATCTTTTTTTCTCATTTCTCACAATTATTTTTTCCAACTTTAACTAAAGCATTGATGGCTCAATTATTATCAACCTTTTTAAACAGAAGCATAATTGACCAGCTGTCTCCAAATGGTATTTAAGTTGCTTTACACCTCCAGTGTACACAGAAAAAGCTTAGTTATATCGTCAGAAGGATACGATCCTCCAACTAACACGACAATAAAGCAGGCTGCAGTGGGAAAACAGCTTGATAGCCTTATGATTCATTTATTATTCCAATTTAATGATTAAGTAAATCCTTACCAATACCCATACTTTAAAAAAGAAAACTTACTCTGCTTCATAATTATCACCCCTTGAACCATCTCTTTACTAGACCAACTTTATGAAAAGGACACGTTGCAGAAACTTTCTTCTAGAAATTCAAACTCTAGTAACATATAGAATTTTATTAATGAAACTATTCCATCTTTAACAAAGTATTTGGAATCTAAAAGAACAGTCCAAGGCTATAAGATTCTTGATTTATAATTAAAAAAAGAAATGCTGAAAAAGACTGTACTCAAATTAGCAAATTGAATTCACGTATGATATCGATCAAGCCCACTCCAACGTACTACTAGTAATGAGAGATTATGGTTACTCTTTTTTTCTCTCAACAAAAAGCAGACAGCTAATAAAAGTCAGTATATCAAAGCCCTTTTATAAAACCTTTCACAATTAAAAATCATGTTTAATATTCCTAATGCCACCACACAGAAGGGCTTTTTTCCCCCCTCATACAACTAAAACCCTTTCTCAGCAGTAGATGTGTATCAATCACAATAGTAGTTCACAAAGAAACATCACAGTACCAATTTAATCCACGGACAGCAGGTGAGTATGTTAACTTATCGTTATCTGTGTATGTATTTAAAATACTCATGTACAACTCTGGATATATTAAAAAAAAACCCCAAAGACACCCCCCCAAAACCTACCCACATTTAGATAGCCAGTTTTTACTAAGCAAAGGCACTAATTTAGTGTGAGACTCCTACCAACATCAGTAAAGCTAGGGTTCACCTAAGAAGTTTAACGCCCACTGTTTATAGCTACAAGACGACTAACAGAGTTTTTAATCAGATATGGATGAAGTTCTTAAATATAGGGGAAAAAAACCCTCTTTTCTCATGAGTGTGCACTTGAGAAAAATCAAATAAACGCGGAAGACAACAATTTAGTTGTACAATCTGATTTCAATAGAAGTTGCATAAAAGATATAACAGTACCTATTATTACTGGGCCATTAAAAATCACAATTCTTCGGTCAAGTATAATTTTTCACTTTTTGGAAAGCTCTGAAAAAAACAAGCAGCATTCAGAAACACATTAACTCCCAAAGAAAGTTTTGCATCAAAGCTCTGCTTTTAAACTTTTATTTTTTAAACAACAAAAAAAAAATCCTCCACTTAGGAAAGTTAAGTTGTCACCATCTTACATTTCAGAATACAAAACTGAAAAAAATCCCTATTAAAAAAAAAAGACAGGACTTCAGCCAAGTATTCAGCTACTTATTGCTGTAGTTGTAACTCAAGTCCATTTAAACCCCTATGTTTTGGTCGTTTGTAGCGAGAACATGTTTGGAACACTAGCAGCAATAGAAAACCCCTTTAAAACCTAGACATAGTCACACTGTTGAGTGAAAATTAGCAGAAACCATAACGATTGGAACATAATATATAATTGTAAAAGTACAATTGAATTGGTAGCTAGAAAAACAGGGTTGATTTAAAGTGCTATCCCAAAAGCCTTATGTGGGCCTATGTCAGTAAAGAAAAGTCCTTTCCCCCCCACTAGATAAATCCCAGAACCACAGCACTACTCCAAACATAACGAATGCAGTCTTCAGTCTGTCCCAGTGCCTCATCTCCCCCGCCCTCCTCCATCAGGTGGAATACAGGAACTTGAGATAATTGCTAATTCCAAATCTGGGTGATATGCACAAACATACTGTTGAATAAAGTCTGGACAGCAAACAGTACACCTGAGTTCAGTCATACAAACTAACTTTTGTAAATAGCATTAGACGAATATATCCATGTCTCTAATATGAATCTAGATGTATTTTCTTACAAAACGCATTAATAGAAATATCCAGGCAAATACATACCATACAATAGCAAAAGCTTTAAGCCCCATTTAATAAGATGACTTTCCGATTAAAAATAGAAGGCAATTAAGATTTACTCAAAATTACAATTAAGAAAAGCTTTCACAGTGCAATATTGAAACTGTCACAAAGTTAAGAAAATACTGATATCAAAGTACAATCACAATGTTAAAGTAGACAAAACTACTATACAAGGGCATATCTTGTAAAATTAAAAGGAATGAACACAACATAGGGGACATCTCACGTCCCTGCTTTACATATCTCATTTCCTAATCTTCAGAGACGTAATTGTGTCTTTCTGACATCGGTAGAAGTCTTGTTAAAACTAAGAGGTTCATTCTTCTTTGTAGACCAGATTTCAGAGCCCGATTACTTCTTGAAAATACATTCTTCATCACTGCACAATTTCAAAGTAGTGCAATATTGCCATGATGTGCTGAGGCATGAACACATAGCCCGTGTACAGTGCCATCCCAACAATGGAAACTAGCATGGAATCTGAATTACAGTTGAGGAAAAAGGCATTTGAAATAGAAAGTGCATTAGACATCACATAACTATAGCATTAAAACTTTCCTGGTAACTAACTTATAACATTACATTTTTAAATCAGTCGGGGTCAACTGCATTCAACAATTACAGCTGCAGGAAGAACTGACTGAACGCCGAAAACCAGAACACTGGTAGGAGCGATTAGCTGGATTATGGAAGGGTGCCTTGCAAGTTATCCACCGCCTTGTCATGGACACAAGAGGACAGGCCTAAGTGTGGGAAGGGTGATGGAGGAACAGAAAACGGGCACTCAGAATATACAAGTTTTTACATGCATCTTCCTAGGTGTTAAGCAAGTCTTGCAGAAGCCAGCCCCATTCAGCCAAGCAATAAAAAGTCAACCATCACAAAAAAAAACACCAAACCAAAATAAAAACACAATAATATGAGTAGCTGTACTGAATAAGAGTTCTTATTTGTGGATGAACTACTAATTTTTAAGCAGACAGCATTAGATGCTGACCTCAACTTCTTGGAATAGTATGATCTAATAGATTTAATTTATGATGCACAAAATACATCTGGTGCAAAAGTTGTACCATTAGCATAATAAAGTCAGGAAACCTCAAATCCATTTCTAGCCGCCAGTGTCCTCTATGCTTTAAGTCACCACATCACTTGGTTGATTCCCCCATCTGCATGTCATGCTCAGACCCTTCCTCACGGGCAAGCCGCTCAATTTATGTGCTGTTTGACAGTACTTCAGAAATAGAAACTGCAGGAGGAATGAAAAGTATGAATAACATTGTGACATGCACCTTTCCAACTACTTCACTCCCAAAGCCTCAGAGCATCAGCACGGCTTGGAGTCAGCTTGTGCATTTAAACAAACAGATACTCATTGGTACTTCACTATGGCAGATCACACTGCCAAACAAACATCATGTGAAGCTATCTGCTGAACAATCTTAAGAAGACCACTTTATTAGTTGAACTTCTAGCAGGGACCTCTTGTAAAACTTACATAGAGAAGTGAGATGACAGCTTATAATGTATACGTACAACTGGACCTTTGTCGAGCTCTAGGGTTCACAAAGCGCTATCTACGGAAATTATGGCATCAGCTTACTGAAAGATTATGCCATTCGAAGTTTAACATTTCAGAAATTCAAAAGAAGTACTCTAAATTAATAATAACCTGTTGATTTCATCCCACTGCCTGCAGAGATTCAGTAAACCTAGACAGAAACACTATAAAAAGCACTGGAGATTAACAAGCATGATAACACTGGACTCGGTTTCCACAGGTGAAACCAGAGGAGCTGTGCATGCTGTGTCTTCGAGAAATCAAGTCACCACAGCACACATGTAATAAACACTCTGTGACCGACTTCCCTGTGGCAGAGCAGACGTCTTAGCTGCGCTTATTAGAGCATACTAGCTTCTTGGTATATTTTTAGTCCCAGAAGTTTATACAGCATGAGATACTAAAATGAAGGTCAACTCATAAATCCACATTTCCGTATCAGCGCTCACTTCTGATTCTGGAGCACAAGCAGCAGCGAGACACGCAGCAGAGCCACGCACCATTAACTCCCAAGGCCGCCGTCTCTGCGCCGCATCCGTACAGCGCCCGGCAGACCTTGCCCACCTATAGCAAAAGCGTCCAGTTTGAGGACAAAAAACAGTTTTGCTAACCCAAGACTGCAAGCGATAGTCGTGCCACTTACAACATTTATAAGTTCAGTGGCAATTACTTCACTGCAATATAAGTATTTTATAAAAGTCAACATACACGCACACTTTGATTTACTTAAATATTTTACACAAGTTAAAAAGCTGCATGGGTAACAAAAAAAAAATATTCATGACTAATATAATTGCAATAAAAGCAAAGATTAAGTTTCCTCAGTGATACAGACATGGCATAAAAACAGGAAAGTATGTTAGCAAGGGTAAGAACCCCTACCTGAACAACTGCGCACAGTATGTCTATAAGTACTAGGAAAGAGAAATAGTAAGTTATCTCCACTTCGACTGACTTTACACAGGAAAAGAAGTCTCATTGTAGAGCTGTAACCTGGGCAACCACTTCTATATAACAAAAGCAAGTTCCTTTACAAAACTGACCAATATCTTAGTAAAAGCAGCTTCTGACTACTTCCACCCTTCTCTTTGTTAATGTTTTGGTAATTTCTCTCTTTGCCTCTCAACATTAATTGGAGATGGCTCGGGGTCATTCATATGAGACATCATTTCAAGTCAAGATCAAAACAGCCACACTTAAAAGAAAGATACTTGTGATGCCATAACAACACTTGAGAGAATACACTGTCTGTATGAAAGGGCTGGGTAAAGAAGCGAAGCTATAAATAGTCTTTATACAGATGCCTTCACATTAGCATCTATGAAGTTCTTCCACTCCAAAAGAGCCAAGCAAACTTACCAGCTCGAGGATTAAATACTCATCTAATAAAAATCATGCGACAAAGCACCGTGCAAGCGTAAGCTTGCGAGGTTTTGCAGCCTGCACGTTTGCTTTCCACTAGGCAAAAATACAAAAGAACTCATGAAAGACACCTGTCCTTAACACAAACCTTGAGATTTCAGTGCGAAAGACAGGAGAAAGAACTACCGTAAGTCGACAGGGGAAAAATTAAAGGAGAAATAACTTCGAGACATAAACTTATGCCCGAGGAGAAACGGACTGGATGGCCAGACGCCCAGCGACAGGATGCGGAGCGCCAGCGTGAGGACCGTTCCCCGACCGGGGCGGCACGTCAGTCCCGACGGCGGGGGGCTTCAGCCCCTGCCTGCGAGGGGGGGACGAGC